GCTGATGGCTGTACATTCATGTATTTTAAACAAGCCCATTTTTAAAAAATCCAATTAAGCTAAAAAACTGATTTTTCTGAATTAAAAAAAGCAGTTTGTTAAAAACACTATCACTAATATGGATAACAAAAACTCACTAGAGTTTCGCATGAGTAAAAGTTTCAGGACCAGATCAAGAATGTAATCTAAGATTGCCCACAAGATTTACAAAAAACTTGTTGCGTATGTTTTTAATGTGATGTCATAATAATTGTCCATAACACTATTATGCCCCAATTCTTCAATCACTCACATGTTTACCTTGAAGCACACAAATAGTTCAATTGTGGAGAAACAAAATCCATTGTGGAACAAATGCATGTGTTTAACTTTAAGCACATGCATAAGTGTTTGCAAGATTGGGGCCTTTGACTGTAAACTCTTCAGGGCTCAGGTGTATCTTCCTATGTGTCTGTACAGCAGCTAACATAACTTCTTGTATCTTTGAAAGCTATTTTCAAAATAGTCAACATCTGTGAATGAAATAATCACTAAGGGAAACTCTGATTTATGCACCTGAAATATTTTAAGTTTCTAAACTTTCAGGGGTAAATACATGTAACTTGCTAATTTGTGTAAATCTGTGCCCACATTTTAATAGATATGTGCACCCAATTTTAATGTACCCCAAGATATACAATATATGATGAAATACAGAATATTGATCTGAGTCAGTACAACCAAGAGAATACATAACTAAAAAAAGAGCCATCTAATATGAAAGTGAAAAACAAGCAGCATATTTACAAAATAGAGCCCTAAGGATACAAAGTTCATGGTAGAACAATGCATGCAGCTGCTCTAAAAGTAAGCATGCTCAGATAAAGAAATTCTGAAAGTAATTATTTTTCCTGGATACAGTGTACATAGATCACTGCACTAAGCTTACATAATTAAACAAGACAAAAGGTCAGATGGTACCTAATAAACCATTTATAACAGTAATTATAACTGAGCTGTGGCAGTCTAGTACTTTATAATAACTAACAACTGTGTAATAATTAGAGGAAAATCTCCTGTTTTAAGTTTCTTTCATTGTAAATCAATACCACCAGCATTACCAACCCATTTTTTCTAATATACTTTAGGAGCACAAAAAGGGACTGTAGTATTAGAAAATGCTATTTAATGGCTTAATCTTGCAAACCCTTACTGAAGAGAAGCCCCACTGAAGTCCCCAAGAGCCTGATTAAACAAAACAGTATTTGGTTCTGCACTTAAAAAGTGGGAGAAAACTCAAGTATTGTGTCTTCTGTATCAAGGTCCCAACTCCTTAGTTCCAAAGTTACTGCAGCACAGGAGAAATCAAACTTTTTCATAGGGTGGACTGTATCCCAGAAATTGTCTCACTGATCATCTCCAGTCCATTTGTATTCTGGTGAACACTCTCCCCTACCATTTGTAAAAACCCAACAGAAACAACATCAATTGCTTACACTGACAACTAATATTAAAAAGTAGTACATGTTTAGCTTCTCTTAATCCCATTAACAACTAACCCAAGGAAAAGAAGCCCAGTAACACATGCCAACTAGCTCTACATAAACCATCAGCACGTGCTCTGTAAACCCTCAGTGGTCCCCAAATCAGAGTTTGAAAATTGCTGCTGTAGCAGAGGAGTGTGTTCCTACTGAGAGTTTTACATACAATTCTGGACTGGACAAGCAGATATTCCAGCACCTTGTGCTAACATACCCTGGTGAAAATCCAGAGTACTCCAGTACTGTAAATCTTCAATAACTCCACCATGACCTAATTTAGCATGATCAGTCTGGTATTTTGTTTTATTTACCACAGCTCTTGCCAAACTGAATTAAAGTATCAGATTCCATGAAAAAAAAAATTAAGACAATGTAAGTTTTGCATGAGAGAGCACTCAAAATCAGGAAATGGATATGCAGATTTTGTTAACGCACAACCTTAACTCTGCCCCCAAATGCAGTGATATTGTATTGTATAATATAAGAAATCATGTAAACCCTCCTGTGACACACATGCCTAAGGGACAGATTTATGGTTGGTGTGTAACTTTCACTTTGGCATTTCCTTACTTGATCACTTAAATGGACAACCCTAACATTCTCTTAGGATATTCCATTATAAAATGATCCTAATTGTGTGGTTTTGTAGTTTTTCTTTAACACAGGGGAAAGCAAAAACATAAGGAGATGGCACTTCACAAGTCAGCTGTCCTGCTGTCTTCCAGTAGTTTGTGTAAACTCCAAATCTGGAATTATCTGCCCAGGCATTCCTGGATAACCCATGCCTGTGCACAGGTGGGGCCACTTGACAAAACATCTTCTATTACCAACATCAGGAGCTGCACAGATCCTAAAGTAAATCACAGTAGGCTTCCTCCTACAAACTGTGCGAAGTGCAGCGCAGCCCTCACTGAAGTCCCTATCTTATACCGTATAAGCCACAGGCAACTGCCGCGCCTATGTAGAGCCTCTCTGACTTGAATGGCTTCTGCCTGGATACTGTAGTCAACCCACTCAAATTGCAGAATCAGGGCTTAATTCCTTGCTCATTAAAAGGTGCACAGGACTTACCCCATGCACAACTTTAGTATGCTTCTCAGTACATAGTCAAGTTAGCCAGTCAGACATGCACAACATAGACTTCTTTAGCTGTACAATTTACGATCTTGGTTAAAAAAAAAAAAAGATGCAAAATGTACTGCACATGCCTAGCCTATGATTTTTCAGTCAAATCAAATAAAATTCACCAGAAAACTCAAAAACACTTCTCTTTCTTGGTCTATTTCCAAGTCAAATTCCAAATCACAGCCATTCAGAGTAAAGGGTTATTTTAAACAAAAATTGCACGAACTTTATTTTTAAGTGGGAAAATGCCCCCTCCCCACATTATCAAAACCAACTGAGTTATTTCTGCTCAAGCTTTCAAAAATAAATAATCTTCAGGAAAAGACCAAACCTGGAAAATTTCATCCCAAAAGATGAAAACTCAGAAAGTTCTGAGAGACTAAAAACAGAAGGTTAGAATAAAAACTATTATGAAACCTTGACTATAATGATTGTTGCTGGCTCTACTATAACATCACTTATTATTTAACATTTTTACATGCGAAAACAAATTAATCTTAATATTCCATAAGTAGGGCCCTACCAAATTCAAAGTCCATTTTGGTCAATTTCACGGTCACAGGATTTTAAAAATCATAAATTTAATTATTTCAGACATTTAAATCTGCTATTTCATGGTGTTGTAACTGTAGGGTCCTGACGCAAAGGGGGATTGTGAGGGGGTTGCAAGGTTATTGTAGGGGGGGTTGCGGTATTGCCACCCTTACTTGTGCATTTCTGCTGGCAGTGGTGCTGCCTTCTGAGCTGGGTGGCTGGAGGCCAGGAGCACAGCTCTGAAGGCAGCGCCACTGCCAGAAGCAGCGAAAATGTAAGGATGGCACAGTATAGTATTGATACCCTTACTTCTGCGCTGCTGCCTTCAGAGCTGAGCCCTTGGCCAGCAGCTGCCACTCTCTGGCCACCCAGCTCTGAAGGCAGCGGCAGAGAAGCAAGGGTGGCATGGTATGATATGGTATTGCCTCCCTTACTTCTGCACTGCTGCTGTCCGGACACTGCCTCTGGGTGCCTGGCCAGCAGACGCTGCTCTTCAGCCACCCAGCTCGGAAGCAGCGCAAAAGGAAGGGTGGCAATACCATGACTCCCCTACAATAACCTTGCAACCCACCCCCCCGCAACCAAATTTTGGGTCAGGACCCCCAGTTTGTGAAATGCTGGTCTCCGCCGTGAAATCTGTATAGCATAGGGTAAAAGCACACAAAAGACCAGATGCATTTTTCACTGCTGTGAATTTGGTAGGGCCCTATCCATAAGTGATTAAATAAATCATTCATATCAGTAATCAATTCAAAGTATTTTTCTAATATTCATTGACACCAATTTTAATTAAAATAACTATAAAAATAGTATAATATTACTGAGGCTAAAATACCATATAAAAATATAATCATTCGACAGAAAGGACCAAAGTTGCATATTAAAGATACATTGATAAGTATCTTTTTCCCCTGAAAATATTGATTCTTACAATATAAAACAGTTGCATAACTATTCCAAGTTCAACCTGAGAAAACAAAGAGGGAGCTAGTAAAAAAGCCTTGGAAAGCAATATCACAAAAAGGTCTCATTTAAATTCCTGGAAAGCGCCGCTTCTCTAAATATATCTATTCAGCTCTCTGAACAGGCAAGTCCTGCTAAAACACACACACTGCCTACTGTAACCATGAGACTGAGCTATGCCACCGAGAATCCATACGGCTACACGTATATATTTCACACCCAGACCCAGTAAATGGTGGAAAGCAGAAAACCGCCCCACAAAAAGTACATTTTGCGAGTGTGTGTGTGTGTGTGTGTTTGCAGCCCAATCGTGGGCTTTTTCTCAGACCTTTATATTCGCGATCGCTACCGGGGAGGATCAATCCAAACCCGGAGCTCTTTGCTTTCATTCGGATTACTCTATCGGCAAACAAGAACGCCAAGGGGAACAGAAACCGCGGCGCTTCTCTGAAGGGTAACATACTTCCGATCCCCTTCAGCGCCCGGCCACACCAGTCCGCGTGCGCGCCGGGGGCATCCCGCTGCTGGCCTGAGCGCCGCCGCGGCTAAACCAAGCCAGCGGGGCGCTGCGGGAAGGCGGCGTCCGTCCCTCCCTCCGACCTTCGCGCCTCGCCCAGGCGGCGCAGCCCGTCCTAGGACCGCCTCAGCATCGCTCCGCTGGGCGCTGCCAGCGCGTCCCCTCCTTGCCACCTTGCGCAGCCCCCCGGGCTCACCCACCGCCAGTCTCCTCCCTGGGGGCCAGTCACGCGTGCGCCCCCTCCCCCCGGCGGGGGATGCTGCTATTGTCTCTCCCCGCCTCGCCCATCGCTGCCCCTGGGAGCGGGGCTGCTTCGCCCCCTCCCGGGTCGCCCCCATTACCTAGCAGGAGCAGGGCTGCGAGAGCCGCGGGGAGCTGGGGCGCGGCGGGGGCTGCAGGGCGGCTGCCCGGCCGGCTGGAAGCGCAGCTCGCTGCTGCGGGGCGGACATGCTGAGGCTGCTGCTCCTGTGCAGCCGCCGGGTTGGGAGCTGCCGCCGCTGCCGGCTCCGCGTCCCGGACTGAGGGAGGGAGGGAGCGCGGGAGGGGCGGGCAGCAGCCGGCTCGGCGCTGCCCGGCTCATTGTTCGGGGAAGGGCAGGGGCGGGGTCACTGCTGCCTGCCTGGGGGCGCGGTGCCCCGCCTCGGGCTCAGGCGGAGCCGCGGGGAGCCCCGCATGTGCCGCTGCAGAGCCCCGCCGCTGGGTGCCCGGGGGACGCGCGCCCGCCCACTACATTGGCCGTGGCCCCCAGTGGGTGCGGCTCGGGGCGCTGCCGGGCTGGGAGCCCTGAACCTCAGCCGTCTCCCGCCCCCCCCCCTCCGACCCGGGGGGCCGCCGACACACGGGAGGCGCCTCCGGGCGCTCAGCCACGCCGCCTCCCCTAGAGCCAGGACCGACTTGGAGCTGGGCGCTTTAGCCGGACTCTCCGGCCCGGCCGCGGAGAACCGCTGTAGATCATCGCTGGGCGAATCCACCAAAACACGTGCGCCTGGAGAGAGTTTGGGGGGTGAAGCCGGGACCGGGTGCATTGAAACCCCGGCTCGAGCCTGCAGTTTCTAACAACCGCGAGCTTGCTGGAGGGTCACAGCCAATGGCAACCTATGTCTGCAAGACCGCTGCCTGCAGACAGCGCAGGTTGCCTTGCGGGAGGTGACCTTCGGGCATCCGCAGCGGGTCCAGCGCGCTACGCTGCCTTTTAGTTACTGCCCTGTGGCTCGTCCTGCAGTACATGCCCTCAGTAGTGCCCTCTAGCTGCCTCACGAGCAGTTTTGGAGGCTACATGTGGATGATAAAGCATCTTGCAAAGTAAAAGCAGCGGGTGAGGGGAAGAGGGGACGTATTTTTCCCATACAAGAAAGTTTTAGGTAAAATTTAGTTTGATGTGGCGGGCGCAAACCCCCGAAAGGCGGCTGATGTGACAGTTCCACCACCCACGTAGAAAGCAAGGCAGGCAGGAGGTATTGAAAAAGGTTGGGCTTTTAAGATAACACTCCATTCATGAGGGAGACATTTTAAGCTTGTAAAGGCTTAGTTGAAGTTATCATCTACATGTCTACAAATTGTGTATAAAGGCCTCAAAAACAATACAATGAAACCTGTAAGAACAGCCCCAGCAAAGGAAATTAAAAATAAAAGTTAAAAAGGAACTACTGTAAATACGCCTTTGTACCTCTACATTTTTAAGTAACCAACCCAGACTGGTTGCTTCCTGCTGGATTCTCAGTTAGCTCCCACAAGCAGATTTATTAGAATGAAAGTTATTTGCAACCTAATCCTTGCTAGGCAAGTATTTGGAAAGCCATTGATTTTATTATTTTAGGGCTAAATTCTGCTATCCTTATTCAGATTTAATAGTAGTTTACCACAGACGGGTGGGTGCTTTGATCACACTTTTTATTTGAATTGAACTATTCACCTGCTTAAAGTTAAGCATCTACATAAGCCTTTGCAAAACTAGGGTTTTATTGTGTCTGTATCTGTTGTATCTAAAATATTCAAAACAAAGTTAATGAAAGAAATTTTTTCTTAACTGTTCAAGAAAAGTTAATCAAAACAATGGGCATTAAAGTTAAGTAGGAGACAACATGCTAAAACAAATTAAAATATAACATGTTAAAACCATACAAATAAAACAAAGGTATTAAAGACAAAACAGGATCAAGAAGCAGTGGGTTAAAAATAAAGAAGCCCAACTGTTGAAACAACCCTCCATACGCAAAGCAAATACTAATGATCAGGGCCGACGAGAGGGGGGGAAGCCAGTACAAATTACCAGGGCCTGGTGGTCCGGAAGGGGGCCCGGCTTCCCCAGCTTCCCCTCTCACCAGAGATGTACTCAGGGCCGGCTCCAGGCACCAGCCGACCAAGCACGTGCTTGGGTCGGCACCTTGTAAGCGGTGGCCAATCTTGGGGTGGCGGGGCAGTGCTTGGGTTTTTGTTTGTTTGTTTGTTTTGTTTCAGCACGGCGCTCAGGGGTTTTTTTTTTTTTTTTTTGGTTTTTTGGGGGGGGGTTGGGGTTTTTTGTTGTTTTTGGTTCAGCGGGGCGGCGCTCGGAGGGGTTGTTTTTGGTTCAGGGGAGCAGCGCTGGGAGGTGTTGTTTTTGGTTCGGCGCGGCGGCGCTCGGGGGTGGGGGTTGGTTTTGGTTCGGCAGGGCAGCACTGGGTTTTTTTGTTTGTTTTTGGTTCAGCGGGGTGGCGCGGGGGGTTGTTTTTGGTTCTGCGGGGCGGCGCTGGGTTTTTTGTTTGTTTTGTTTTTGGTTTGGTGGGGCGGTGCTGGGGGGGGGTTGTTACGGCGAGGCGTTGTTTGTTTGTTTGTTTGTTTTTTGCTTGGGGTGGCAAAAAAGTTAGAGCCGGCCCTGGATGTTTTTAAGAGTTTGGCAACTGCTGGGTAATCATTCTAAGGATTTGTTGCTGCCTGAAAGTTATTCCCGTAGTCATTCAAAAATCTAAAATTTTCACTTAATGCCAATTTTATTTATATTTGCTTTGCCTACCAAGTAACTTTCTTTTTTTTTTTTTTTTTTTTCAGATTTGTTGCATCACTCTACAAAGATACCTGCTGGCTGGTACAATTAACCATAAGCATGTGTCATACAAAAATACAGTAGAAGATATATATTACTAACCCAATTTTCTTTTTTTAAAGTAGGAATTTGATTATATAGAAATACAGTTCCTGATATGTATATCACAGTTCTAAAATGTGCTATTCTTTATAGTCATTCCACTTTTACCATTCCAAGTGAAAATTAATTTCAATTTAGAAGCAGAACAAATGAATAGTATGAGTTAGGTAATATTATGAAAAAGCTGGTAGCACAAAGATATTCTACGTGTGATATAAGGACAGCACCTCACCTGGACATTTTTCTCCCTATCAGGAGAATTCAGCAGTAGGGAGTTAAACTGTTTGAGCACAAGTATCATAGGTAGATTCTATTGATATTAAAGTCCATCTAAATGTAAAATTTATCTCTTGGAAGGCAGTTGGAGGTTGTCTGCAGAGAGATAAGGTTTGCTTTTGCCTCTGGCTTTGGGTGCATTTTGCTTTCAGCTCAGCCAGTGAACTCTGAAGAATAAAGATCCGTATAGCCCGAAGTTCCTACCACTGTCCTGATTCTGATTTCACTTACATTACTGTAAATAAAGAACAACTCAATGGAGTTACATTGGAGTAAAGACTCTGTGAGATTATTATTATCAGCCCCCACCATGATTTCAAAACACCTGGAGAAAAGGTTTGAAGTTCAGAGGACAGTATTTGCTGGAAAGTCCAGCTTTTCTAAAGGTGCAAGAATCTACATGCAAGTAATCAAGTATGGGTGAGCGTTTCTTTTATATATAGTTGGCATGAGGATAAAGTTTCAGATACTATATACACAGCGATATGGTTTCTGCTTTTCTGTTACTGAGTTTAAATACTGGTGTAAGTGCATCTATTATTTTGTTGCTGAATTAGAGGCACATATATAAAGGGAATAAATAACCTAATTTAGCCTGATCTTGAGACACAGGCCCTTAAAGTTATAACAGATCAGTGTAGTGATCATCTAAACCTACAAGATATAGTTTATAACCAAAGCCTTCAAAGCCCTGTTACAAATCAATTAATCACTCCCAGGACATGTCCATAACAAATGTAATGGGTGAATTCCTGGCCCCATTGAAGTCAAAGAGGTTTTGCCACTGACTTTAGTAGGGCCAGGATTTCACCCAAAAGAACATATTAGAATTAGTCTAGCTTTGAACATAAAGTGAAGTGGATTTTTAATAAAGTTACTGTAGTTGACTTCCTGGTGCTTCAAAAGTGTATTGGGTTTGCAGTTGTTTGCATTTGTACATGGATTTAGGAACTGAGCCAACAAGGAATTAATATCCTGCCTTCAGGAGAGGTTGTGGCCCAATTTTCTTTTTTCATATCTTCTAGAAGATGATCAGTGGAATAGCTTTATCTCTAAGGGAAGCTATTTCTCTGCCCTTCAAAAGCACCATGATGAAATACTCAGTAGCAGAATGATAGGGTAGAATTCAAGAATGTAGGTAACTCAAGTTGGGACCCGGTGACTACAGCATCCGGACTCAAAGGAATTGGGGGGGTGAGGCAGGAAGTATGCAGTGCTTACCAAATTAGCAGGTTGTTGCTAAAATAAGCCTGGTATTTTGTTAAAAATCCCTTTCAAATATATGTATCTGAAAAACAATCAAATCATGGGCCAGATTCAGATACACACTGAAACTCATTCAGCATGAACAAGAGTTAGATGCAGAGGAAGTGCTATTCACTATCAGTCAGTCTTATAATAAATCTGGCATAAAATGTAAGCTTCACCACTAGATGTGGGCCCAGGATACACTGTGACTCAGAGACACACTTCTGAGTCATAATTTCTTTCCTGCTTCTTCCTTGCTCTTGAAGGGCCATATTTTACTGCTGGCCTATCCCAGTAGTAAATTCCTAACCCTCTGGCTTAGCTGTATCTGCCAGCAAGTAGACTCAAGGCCCTACTCCCCACCAGGGCTACAGAGAGCGGGTTTGGGCCCCGGTGAAAAAAATTTTTTGGGCCCCACAGCAAGGGCAGACCAGCTAAACAGGGCCGACGAGAGGGGGGGAAGCCTGGGCCCCCTTCCAGACCGCCAGGCCCCGGTAATTTATACCTGCTTTCCTCCCCCTCTCGTTGGCCCTGCTCCCCACCCCTTCCAATACCTGCTCCAAGGAGGAAGTAGGTATTTAGCCTCACCTACTTCTGTGTGTGCAGACCCAACTTGTCTGCATAAGGGTGTAAGGGGTTTCTTGCTCTCTTGCATTGACATGTAGCACAAGTCACAATCTTGTCCTGTGACTTCTTCCAGTAGGAGAACCGGACTAAGAAGAAATTTTAAAAAATTGAAAAACACCCTATTTAAAACTT